CTCTCTCTCTCTCTCTCTCTCTCTCTCTCTCTCTCTCTTTCCTCATGGTGCTGGGGATTGAATGCATGTTAGGCAAGTGCTCTATCACTGAGCCACAACCCCAGCAGTGTCTTGCAATTCTCTTAAATTCAAAGCAGGGTTAAAATAACCAAGAACTTTTGAAAATTGAGATATTTAATCTTGCATCTTGCACATTATAATGAAAATGAAAAGTATGATATATGTATTTCTTTAATTACTCCCAAGTGTCTTGTTTTTTAACGTTTCTGAGTATATGTTATATTTTAGGTTTTGCTTCAGTTGTGCAGTTAATGCTCAGAAAATAGCTTGGCATTTGTTTTAGTCATATTTTTGTTGCTGTGACTAAAAGACCTGACAAGAACAATTTTCTAGGAGGAAAAGTAAATAAAACTTTATTTCAGAGGTCTCAGTCCATAGATGGCAAGGTCTATTTTCTGAGCCCCCAAAGAAGTAGAATGTCATGGTGGGGGCAGGAGGCATGGCAGAGGAAAGCAGCTCAAGACGTTGCAGGAGGATAGAGAAATTTGGGGAGATCCCCATAAGAGACAAAATATATACTCATAGACATGCCCCCAAAGACCTTCCTCCTCCTGCCACATCCTACCTGCCTATAGTTACCTCCCAGTTAATCCCTATCAGGGGATTAATGCACTGATTAGTTAAAGTTGTTATAACCCAATCATTTCACCTCTAAACTTTCTTGAATTGTCTCACATGTGAGCTTTTGGGGAATACCTCATGTCTAAACCATAACAACATTCAAGATATTTTTTCAAAAGTATTATGCTTCTGCTCTTAACCAGATCACTATATTACACAATATGAATGAACATAAGGAAGGCGCTTCTTGCCACAAAGAAGAGACTAGACTTATCCTTCAGAGATATAGCCATTTAAAAAAAATAAAAGATCTCAGCTTTATAAAGGAAAAGAATAACTAATTTCTAAGTAGTTTTACTTTTTATAAGTTTAGTTTTAAAGAAAATCTGTTAAATTTACTTATACAATATAAACACAGAATGTCTTTGTTTTGCTATATGCTAGGGTTCTGAGTTAGAATATAGGACAATTGTCATTGATTTCTGAATATTACTTTGAAGCATTTCATTGTTTCAATTGGTGTTTTTAACTTACTTTTCTTTTCTTTCTTTCTTTTTTTTGGAGTGTTCTTAATGTTCTCTCATACTTACACAGATACTCTATTTTGAGCATACTTTGGTCTGGAGTTATGTCATTGGGATGGATGGATGAATGGGTAGATATGATAAGCTATAAAAAAGAATGCTCACAAGTCTATTCTTCCCCAGAACTTTGCATGAGTTCCTTGGTTCTTTCATTGAAAATAGAGACCCTAAAAGCAGCAAAATTGATGGGGAGGTACATCAGATTCCTTAGAATGTTGAAAATCTCTTTCAAGCAACCACATTGACTGGAAAAATAATTCAAAACTGAATTATTACAAACTCAATGATTCACAATTGAGTCAGATAATTATAAAATTATTTCCCTCAGAAATGACTGAAAAGAGTACTAAAATTTAATATTAATCATTTTTACTTTTTCTTATGAGTAAACACTGACCTTTAAATTCAAAGTCATTCTAAATTGTTTACTATTATGGCCCATTGTCAGTTTATCCTTATACCAGAATCTGCATATGCTATTATATGTTTTCATGATAGTTGTTTCAATAGTGGATATTGTTATAGTACTATAGGTCAGTATAAATCAATGAGGGAACTGTTAAGCAGTATCCTCACCAAATATTGTAGAATAGAGGCCACTAGGTATTGCAGAGTAGTAGTCTATCAGTCCAGGCAAATGATCCATTAAAAAAAATCTGAATTATTTTAAACATAGATTAGAAAATATAGAATATTTATTTAAAAATGGAACATGACTGACCATGAAATTACCTTTTTGAAGACAATTGGATTATTCACCTAAAAAAGGTTTAAATTTACAAATGAGGTACCCTAACCTTATTTGCAGTTTACTCTTTAGCAGTTTGATAACACCAATGGCCACCTATTTTAGAACATTTTATATGCATTAAGTAAAATAAGGTGAGTAAGCAGAGTTACGTTTCATTGAAATGTAGTCTACAATTTGAGAATTCCATGTAGGAAATAAAATATGTTAAACCTTATTTACTTATTATTTACACTTCTCAGTTGTTGCTATTTGAAGTTATTTATATATTCCTGACTTTATACTCACTCAAAATATAGGTGAAAATTCTCAGGTTTTATATACTGGTGTTGATTCTGCTATGAAACTGGGTAACTCAGGTGTCTTGCTTTAAATTTTAAGTTTTACCTATTTAAACCTATTCTTACCAGATTGTGGTTATAGGAGCCTATCTTGACTTTCTCTGTGTTATCAAAATTTAAAATATAACCTTTTATTTCCCTTAACTGTGAAAATACATTTTGGGAAAGTTTTCACTTCTGTTGTGGTTCTTCTGTGTTTCACTTATTAACCTATTTTCATCTCACATTATGATAATTATATATTTCTTATTTTTTGTGGAACGAAAATATAAAGAAAATTTAGGAGATTGCAGGATGTGATATAAAATAAATCCAGTATTTATTTTCTAAAGTCTTCTAATTTAAAGTCTTCTGGTTTAAAATTATATGATATTTGGGAAATTGTGTCCTTTTCTCTTTTTCTTTAATTGCTTGTAGTTTTTCACTATCTGGTTGAGAGAATTTATAGGTAAAGTGGAAGTTCTGGTGAGATTAATGCTGTTTTACTCACTATAATATATAAGCATATTTGTTTTGTAATCACAACTGGGTGGAAATATAATAACATTTTTTGAAGTATTACTTTGGTGTATACTACTTTAAGTTCTAGACCAAACGTAATGTTTTTAAGGTTTCTTACAAATTGTGGGGTTGGTGTTAGAAAGCATGTATTGATCAAGTTAGGTATAAAAGCATTATATTAGGTTTCAGGAATACAAAAATCAATAATGATAAGTCATTTAAATTTACTATTTTTCTTTCAACAACCATTAAGTTTTAGTGTTAGATTTATTTGTGGTCAAAGAGACCACATTATTTCAGTGAATTAAGACACATTTTGAATTGGTTGGTATAGCTAAAGTACACTGAGGTAGATGACTGATTAACCAGATCCCTAGAGTGATTTCTCTTTGGGGTCATGTTTAAATATGGCTGCATACTTCAAAGGTGCCCTATTTTTCTATAACCTCATTTTGATCTTTCTATTGAATGTTCAGGTTTATCAGAATATTATTATTGTGTTGAAAGTATTTTTATATCTTAGTTGGTATACTAATAAACAGTGTTAGGGGCTTGAGAATCAATGTTTACATCATTTTCTTCACTATTTTGAAAATATTAGGAAAAGTCATTGAATTCCTTTAAAATACAATAATACTTCACACAGTTCACATGTTATGTTTAGGAGATTCATTTTGGAAAGCAGGCAGTTTTGGTTTTCATTGATTATAACTGAGCAACTCCTATTATGTTCAACGGGAGTTTTTATTATAGACAGATTGCGATTCCTTAGAAATTCTTAAGAAGTTTAGTGAGATTTTGCTCAAAATATGTTGGGGAAATTTTTTTTAAAACATACTCAATAATTTTAAACAATTACCTTTCTCAAAATCGGTTTGATGCATCATGACCAAATAGAAGAAGGGCACAAAGATCAACTGAGCTGCTTTTTGACTAACGTTTCAGGGATTGTGAAGCAGCAGATAGACAGCCATATCACAGATCCAGATCAACAGAACAACGGCCTCACCTTGAGCGGACCACCACCCGCTCCAGATCCACTGAACGTCCTGATACAAACCTCATGAGGTCGATGCCTTCATTAATGACTGGAAGATCTGCCCCTCCTTCACCTGCCTTATCGAGGTGAAAGATAAATCAATCAGACTAACTTCCCCCTTTGCACCACCAGCACACCATTTTATTTTCCCAGCAGCTAAATGGTTTCTTCTATCATCTTTGACTGATCACTAGTAACAGTCAATACTAACCTTTTCAATGTAAACACACTATTTATATTCAGCGGATATAATAGTGTGTGGTTACCATTGTAATTTGTTTATTAACTGTCCTGACTGCATTTGTTTTGTGATTTCTCATTAATCAGGAGTCCTGGGTAAATGCCCTCATAACTATCACGTTCTTCTCCTACAGAATGAGAAATTACTTGTGTCCATTAGACATCACTTTTCTAATGTTCATCATAATGACACTAATCAAAAGTAGAATTTTAGTTTCTTTCTGTCAGCACTAATATCATGTATTAACCAGTGTTTTCTTTAGCTGAATTTTGAATTACTCAGGGTTTTATTTGTAGTCTCATATTTTCTAATGAAGGGATGTTTAATATAAGCCTGAGTAAAAATCTCTTTGGATCAAGAGAGGAAGATTAATGTTAAGTTTGAAATCTGGTAGAAAGAAGTGTGAGGTAGTAGTTTTTATTTTTTGAGCTACAGAATTCTCCTCTTTCATATAGAAAGAATACTAATTTACATTAACTATTCCATGGATTTTATCATAGGATTTTGTGTGCATGTATGTGTGTATGTATGCATATTACATAAAAATGTAAACATCTTTTGGTATTTAAATAATCATTCAAATATCCATATTTTGTTCTGTTTTCCTAACCTTTTAATCAGCAGCTAAATCTCTTTTTAAAAAGCACTTACACAGCTATCATATGAACCAAATGTATTAAAAGCATTTAAGTCATTGTACTGAAAATGAATATCAATGATGTATCTTGTAGGTCTCATCCTCGAACTGGGTCTGTCCAGACCAGCCCATCAAGTACTCCAGTGGCAGGACGAAGGGGCCGACAGCTTCCACAGCTTCCACCAAAGGGAACATTGGAGAGAAGTAAGTTTTATTTCTAATTTTATCACAGGGGAAATATACATGGAAGCCAAGGTGAATCAAGATTTTATTATTACCTTTGTGATAGTTATCTTCTTTTGTTAATGGTATGCCTTACTGAATGTTATAGTAGTTTTATTTATGAATATTATATATTCTATGTTTAAAATTTATATTATTTGGAGGTAAAGTAAGCTATCAATTTTGCTCTTGGACATTTTTCAAATGTGAATAAATGCATTTTAAAAGTAAACTTATTTCTTTGCTACAACTAAATTTATGTAATTGTTGATAGTTACATAAAGTTTATTAGTAACTAGCTAAATCAATTTTCACACACTGCAAAGGACTGGTTAGCTGATGCACACCAATGGTGATCCTTCTCAAATCTGGAGTACAAGAAAAAGGTAATCATGAATATATAAAGAAAGATGCATGTTGTACTGATGTTTATAACAATTTCAAATTTTTACATAAGATGCAATATTTGCTGACAAACATGAACATTCTTCTGAAACATTTATAAATTTATAAAGTTTTGGGTAAAGGACCTTTAAAAGCATGGATATCAGAATATTTTTAACCTCATTTAAAAAATGATCCCTTTATTTGGTAACTGGGTGTGTTTTGCAAAAGTATATATACATGCATATTTATAAAAGTATATATCTTAATCACCATTAAATTTTCTTTAATATACAATTCATTCTATGCCTTTGGAGATTTCTGTTGTTTTTAACCCCTGTGCTTTGGTTCCCTTTTTTTGTTTTGTTTTGTTTTTATTTTGTTTTCCCTAGACAATGGAGTCAAGGAGATAGAACCTTATGAAGGTCTGTACATAAAGGAGGGTTTGTTTTGTGCCGACAGCCTTTTTGGGGGGCTGTTAAGCAAAAATAAACCCAACTGCAATTGATGTCCCTTCATTGCATAGTTTTATATACAGCAAAATTATTTTGTTTTATAATTCTGATAAAGTATTCAACTTTTATTTTACTTGGAAATAAAAAGAAGGAGTTAAATTTCATTGATTCATCAAGTGAGAATGCAAAGAAACTTCTTTTAAATGAGTAGAAAATATTTGCTCTTTTGAAAATATTTAATTTCCTTTTTAGGCCAAATTCCAGATTTTGAGTAAAACTTTAACCAAAGATATCAATTGCAGTCTGTGTTTATGTCATTAAGGATGTAAACATAGTCTAGTTATATTTATCATCATATATTTCATTTTATATTTATGATGATATTTTAATTATTAAATTTGGCTTTCTTGAAAAGAAAGTTTTTGAATTAGATAGTGATTGTGGTTTGTATTTCCTACATAAATGATGTAGCAAGACTGCTTATAGTATTCAAAGTTAAACGATAGTTTTATGATTTTAGTACTAAACCCTTCATTATGACTCAAGATAAAATATTAAATTATGTTATATAGAGTATTTACAAAGACATGGATTATTTACATTTAAAAGACAATAAAATCCCCTACTAATTATAGAATTCTGAAACTGTTGGCTCTTTTATTTACTGATGAATGTCCAACACATAGAATAATGCCCACATTGTAAACCCAGAATAAATATTTGTTCAATGAATGCATGAAATGTTTATCTAAAAATTGCAAAGCTACCTAAGATAATGTATAAAGTGCCACTAAACTAATCTTGTCATGACTTATTGTAACAGATTTGTAAATGCTTTGCATTTGAGCAGCAATGTTTTTATTGCCTTATGTAACTTGATAGAAAATGTGTTCTTGTTAGTTGTAACTGAATGGCTACCAACTTCTATTTTGTGGTTCTTTTTGTTTTTTTTATATAGCATAATAGAACAATTCAGTGCTTTTGTGATTAGAGGTCTATTATGCTACCTGGTAAAAAGATTTGAGCAGCATTTCTATAATTCTCCATTATTTGCATAAGACTGGGAAGCCTAAAATTTTAGATGACTTTCCACAAGGAAAATTCAATAATTATGGATTTTTTGTCTCCTCAAGATTTTTAAAGGTAGAGTTTCAGCATCATTTATTGGCATATGAAGTCAGAAACATAAAAGATTATGTCACAATTTTCTAAAATTTTAATTTAAATATCTTGTAAAGCAATAGTCTACTGACATAAGACTAGATCTGTTTTTTTCTTTTTTTTGGTAATACCAATTATGCCAGAAAACTGATAATATTGTTGATACGGAACATAAGGATTGATAAAGGTTCCAAGGGATTATCAACAAATATTCTAATTACTATTTGTCTTTTTTTCCTTTATAGAATCCATTAAAACCACAATTTTCCTTTAATATCTCCAGTTGCAATTTTTCCATATTTTTATTTTATAAAAGAAAGTTGAGCTAAAACTTCCCTCATCCTTTTCAGTAGGAAATTGAAAGTTTTTTTCTTTTTTAAAAAAACTTAATAGTATGGATGATTTTTTAAAAAAGTATTTTCGTAAGTGTTTATATGGAGACTTGAATAGATACATGACTGTAATTTTCATTAGTTTTAAATATGAAAATTATCTATTATCTCTTTAAGAGGTCTTCAATTTCTAGTTGAAATTACATATGTGGTAACTCAAAATAAATAACTCAAAATAAATCTCATCAAATTATTTTCTCAGAACTGCCTAAAAAGTTAGTTGTCAGAACTTGTATTTTGATGTCATTAGTTTAGAATTAAAATATTGAAATATTTATTTTCTAATCCTCCTCAGTAACTAAAAGTTTAGCAAGTTCTATTTTAACTCTTTATGATTTTGGTTAAGTATTTTATATTGTCTTTTAATTTAGTTAGTTTAAATTCATACATTTTGGTTTTTATTTTAGTTACTTTTTGTTGAAAGTCAAGAAATAAAATAAGAGCAATATGGAAAATGTAATGTATTCAGTAATTGCAAGACATTATCATTATTATTTTATTTTCCCCTTATTTTGTTGTACTGCCATTATGTAAAAATAAAAGTTTGTCATATCATTTTTGTTTCTCCAAAAGGAACGTTATATAGTATTATTTTTTCTAGTAATATACCATGTCAATAGACAAGGCATTTTGCATATTTTACCTAGTTTCCCACATATTCCAAATATATTGAGCTCACCATTTCTCCTTTTGCAAATCACCATCATCATAAAAGCAAACAGTGTGATAATTCACTAACAGTAAACTTGGTTTGCAATTACATGTCAGAAACTCCTTTATCAATCTCCTTATAATCACTCATTATACAATTATGAATGTTTTTGTTTGTTTTATTTAATTTAAAAGTAATTATTATACCTATCTAGTCTTTTTTTCTTTACTTTTACTCATGTAAATACAGAAGTTAATGAAGAAACTGTGCATGTGGAAGAGAAAGGGGTAGAAAAGCTGGGAGAAGAGGTCAAGGCAGGTCTGTCTGTGTGTTTAAAATAAATGAATGATTTCACATGATTTTGGGCCACATTATGAATGTGCATAAAGAACAGATTTCTGCTTTTCAATACTAATTTTATAATAAATTATCTAATTTTATTAATGAAGAGAGATTATGTAACCTGTCTAGGCAACATGTCACAATATTTAATTTATTCAACTGGTTGGATTTGTTTAAATCAAACTAGAATTATGGTCTGTACCTGTGACCTACATGTCTGCCTTTCCTATACCCCAGCTTATTCATTTACATTCAGAACATTTATTTAATTACTCAAAAAACTTTTTTTTGAGCCACTTGTAGAAAACTGTATTTTACCATGTGTTGCTGTTGGCAAGGAAAGCTCTAGCTCCTTCTCTAAGGATTTTGAATCTATTACAGGTAAATTATATGGAAATGTAGAATAGAATATAAATCCCATTCAAACTTTTAGAGACTATGATCTCTTTCAGATTATTATTTCCTAAAGTAAGAACAATTAACTTCTTCATTCTAGTTCCTCTTCCTTCTTCCAGTTCAACAAATACTATAATATGTTTTCAAAATCATAATTTGTGTCCATATAGTCCTCCTTCTAAATGGTATGCTGACCCTTTGTTTGGGGCTGGTGTTTTATGACCATCTTATGTCATAATATTTGCCACTTTTTGCCAGAATGTTTGCCAGAATTGAAAGAATTTTAAAACATAAAATATTATATAATCAAAATTATTTAAATAAATAATGAATTTATTTATTTTTATTTGAAACTAAGAATTGAATCTGATTCTTATCTAAGCTGCTAGGTTTCAACAAATTTAACTTATTTTAAACAATGAATAATAACTTCAAGTCTATTTTTGTCAAATGTTTAATTGATCACTTTTTAGTCATAATGAGTAGAATATACATTATGTACTTTTTTCTCTCTTATTATGAGAAGGCAATGTCATATTGTATATGAGATATGTTTTCATGATACATTCTCAGAATAGAGTCTGAAGTTTTTAAAACTAAAAACATTGTAAACTGAAATTGCTGTTATCAACAGTTTTTTTTTTAGTATTATAACAATGAGAAAAATGATTCATCAGAGTACATCTGATGATGGAAACAAAGTCAATTTTAGCTACATAGTTCTAAAAGTATATAAAATCTCCATTCTGAATATTTCATACTCTAACTGAAAGAATTCCGCACATCTTTTATTTTCCTTGAACTCTATAGGAATGACATTTTAATGCATATTTTTTCTTTTAAAATATTTTTTAGTTGTAGATGCACACAATACCTTTATTTTATATATTAATTTTATTTGATGCTGTGGAATGAACCCAGTGCCTCACATGAGCTAGGCAAGTGCTCTGCCACTAAGCCACAGATCTACCTCTTAATGCAATATTATTAAGAATGTATTCCATTTTTATTTAGTTGGGCAGTTAGTGTCTTCTATTCACCCATACTTCTGTATATCATACTAGTTCTCACAAATACTGAAACCCTTCATGCTGCTTATGAATTGGCTTCCACAATAATGACAGTTTTAGGATAACGTTAGTTTAGGGATTTAAGCAACAGTTAGCATCACTTTAATTTTGTCTTCTTTAAACTAAGTAA